AACTATGATGCGACGCCCCCTTAAAATCATGATGAAATTCTAGTGTATTTTCTCTAGATGTAAGAACAGCCAGCAAACAGTTCGATTTCTACCTTCAATCCTGTAATTACTTTTACCCGGGAACATTTTACCCATCCCCTGTGCTTTAGATGACATGTTCTTCGTTCAGATAATTTGCCAGGTGCGCCGAGGTGAAGGACCGGCAAATGTCAGCTCTAGCTTTTCCCCGAAATTTGCCTTCAGACGTTGCCACGTTTTACCATAAATGGTCAGCATCTCAGGTTTTCTTTTGTCGCGCCGTGCAATCCTATAATTACTTCGGGAACATTTTACCCACCCCCTGTGTTTTATTAGATGACATGTTCTTCGTTCAGATAATTTGCCAGGTGCGCCAAAGTGAAGGACCGGCAAATGTCAGCTCTAGCTTTTCCCCGAAATTTGCCTTCAGACGTTGCCATAAATGGTCAGCATCTCAGGTTTTCTTTTGTCGCGCCGTGCAATCCTATAATTACTTCGGGAACATTTTACCCACCCCCTGTGCTTTAGGTGACATGTTCTTTGTTCAGATAATTTGCCAGGCGCGCCAAGGTTCGGGTGGGCAAATGTCAGCTCTAGCTTTTCCCCGAAATTTGCCATCAGACAGCTACGTTTTACCATAAATGGTCAGCATCGCAGGTTTTCTTTTGTCGCGCCCTGCAATCCTGTAATTACTTCGGGAACATTTTACCCACCCCCTGTGCTTTAGGTGACTTGTTCTTTGTTCAGATAATTTGCCAGGCGCGCCAAGGTTACGGGTGGGCAAATGTCAGCTCTAGCTTTTCCCCGAAATTTGCCATCAGACGTTGCCACGTTTTTACCATAAAATGGTCAACATCTAAAGCTGTACGAAAGGTGAGACGATGCCAAAGCAATTTTTCTGGATTTCATCCAATGTTAGAGAAGATCTAAAAAGCTGTATGTCAAAAAAGTTCACAAAGGCAGTCAAGTGCATGCCCGTAGCCAGGGGGGAGGG